TTCCTTTCTTTTATTCGCTAATTCTTCCTCCTTAATTTTTTTCTCATCGTCCTGATTTTTTAAATATTCTTTGTATTTGAGCCCTGTTAATCCATAAGGTGCAGGCATTTTTTTTGTAACTTTAAATTTCTTTTGTGGTAAATCCGGTATTTTCAAAAATCCTTCTAGTGGATTGGATGGATTTGTATCATTCGATGAATTAATACTATTAGTGGGATCTATTACAGACTTTATTGCAGTCTGACTATCAACTGTGGACTCAAGCGAATTTTTTGCTTGATTAGTGTTATTGCTGCAACTGGGAATGGCTGGTATGGATGATGCGTTATTCTGAGGAGAAGAGCATTTATTAGGAGCGTCAATAATGGGGTCTTTTTCTACTATTATTTCTAAAGTATCATAGCATGGCAATGGTATCACATCAGGTATGTCTATTTCATTCTGAATAATAAAATCTATGACATCTTCAGTTGTATCAAAGGGTGGTAAATTGGGTAAAATACTAGTCTCACCCAATAATATGGAATTATCCGATGGCAGTCGGATTGCCGAATCTATTATAATTGAACTATTAGTTGCATGCATTTCTTCAGTTTCCACATTTGTAATTTCAGACTCGACGATTTCGGGAACACTATTCCTTTCCAGTGCCTGGCTTGATTCCAGTTTGGAATCGTCCTCGTTTGAAGTAGACGCTTCTATAGATGATACTGACAGATCAAGAGGAATGATCGGGGTATTCGGTGTTATCGTGTCACTCTGTTTTTTATTCTCAAGTTGATTTCTACATTTTTTCCACAGCTCAAAATATTGATGGGGATGAGAACGGTTTAAATTGTAAGACATGACAAACTCATTTCTTATCATCTGGCCAACTTCACCTTCTATAACCTTGATCGTACTTCGTAGATCCTCTTTTTGGTCATGAAGACTAGAGGTTGTGGTGCCTTTTTGGTTTTGTTGCGCAATTTCTTGCCTTCTATTACTTATGCAGCGTGAGTAGTCAACTGCATCTGGAGACATTGGATATAAACCACAAACTCTAAATGAATTTTTTATCGTAGTTGGCTTAATGCTTCTGTCGTAAGCTATTTTAAACAACGCAGCAAAATTTTGTTTTGTTATAGGTACAGTGGATGCCTGTTTATGCTTTCTCACTACCCTTTTCCAATTTTTCTTCAACGGTCCAAATATTCCTACATCACAGGGCTGCAAAATATGAGTTGAGTTGGGATATAAACAGAAAATCATTATTCCTTTTTCACGACAGAAATCAAACATGTCACGATTGATATGGGACTTGTGGCCATCCAGAAATAGCAATACAGGCAACCGGATTTCATTTTTTACCAACCATTCATAAAATAACTTAATGTAGGTAAAAAATACAACTGATACCATCCACCCGCTGTCGGAACGGCCAATATACCAAGTATCTGGGAAATTTTGAATTACGGCTGGTGGCATTCTTTTATATGGATACAAAACAAACGGTGGTACATCAGTACCATCAGCAGAGAATGTACATAGGACTGTGATTGATTCTTTTTCTTTCCCAATTGCGATTTCGTATGTATTTTTATAATTTTTGGGCCCCAAAATCAGCCCCGTTTTAAGACAAGTCATGACGCCAGTTTCATCTGAATTGAAAATACGAGTCGGGTCATCTTTAATGTCTAAGGCATTTTCTTCCTCTAAAAACTTGTTCAATTCAGTAAACCAATTTCTGATGGCCTCTTCTGTAACCGCTGCCCTAGCTTTTGATATTATTTCAGCGTTTCTTTTAGTTACTTCGGGATGTCTTCGCAAAAACAAAGTAAGCCATTTTTTCCCCGGTCGGCCTTTTGTAAATTTATTCTCCCTCTCATTTTGTTTCAAGAATATTTCCACAGTATCATAAACTTCTTCCGGGTGCATTGGAAACCCAAGTTTAGCTTTTGTTAAAATCCAGTCTGCTAGTTTGTTTTCTTCGTCGAAAGTTAGTTGTGTTAATGGACCCATTTTTCGTTGCCATGGTACTTTATTATTTAATTTATTACTTAACGTTGATTTGGGTATGTCGTATATTTTGCTGGCTTTATTAATAGACAAATCGTTATTTGTTATACGGGTAAGAGCCTCCTCTAACTGTTGTTGAGTATAACGGAATCTTGCGTATTTCTTTTTAGTAGATTCCATTATTTTTGAACTAAAAAAAAAGAGAAATTGAAGTTGAAGCGTCTGAATATTTTTTGTAACTAATTACTGAGATAAAACTAAATATCACTGCTTGAAATATAACAAAACATTAATAGTTTATTTATTCATTCATTGGATTTTAAAAACCAGTAAATGAACGTAGCAATAATACTATAGTTCATTCATTGGTTTTTGAAAACCAGTAAATGAACGTAGCAACAATACTATAGTTCATTCATTAGATTTAAAAACTAGTAAATGAACACTAGGGTGTTCGAATACTGGCCTAAAGGTAGACAATCAATAATTAAACCTTTCTACAAAAAAATAAACCAATTCTGAGAACAGAAACATACAAAATTAGCCAAAAGTAACAAAACAGACCAGAACCAGTGAATGAACACTTGTTCATTTACTAGAACTTTCTCACTTTCATGATCTAGTAATCGAACACCCCTTTATTTTTATTAAACACATGAAATTATAAACAAGTTGTTTTCTAATGAATAAAATAATCATTGTTCTATCTTATTATGCAGTTTTCTTTACACTGTCACTCATATAACGTGAACAACGCTAATACCAAAATGCACTGTCTTACCTGAGTCCTAAATTCTCGCTCATACAATCACGAAACACAACACAACACGTCCACTTTAAGCAGTCGCCATTTTGTAACTACGGGTCGCTGGCAAATGTTTGTGTGACCAGTTTACGTAAAAAAATTAGACCACTCGAAAAAAAAATACAGTGTTTGGTAGAAATGTTTACTTTTCTTATTATATTGAAAAAACTCACTTTTGTTCATTCACTGGGGGGTGTTCATTCATTGGTGCACTTACCCTAGTTGTATTTCACATATCGTTTTATATTTTCTTCTCTTTAAAAAAAAACATTATAAAATAGAAAACCAAAATTGACAGTTCAAAAGCGTTATTGTATGAATATAAATTACTTTGGAGATTAAATAACCTTATTGTACTATAAAGCTTTACTTATACCTACCAAACTAGTTCCAGTTAGTACGGTTCTCTTTTGCATATAAAAAGTGGAATATTGATTTTGTTTAGAATACTAACTTACCAAGAGACCAATCATGTTGAGGCCATACTGTAGGCAAGTATCAAATGGTTTTGCAAGTATCAAATAAGAGAAACTATAAAACTGCATCCAATCAGAATTTTATCACTATTACGATACGCTTATTAGCAATCACTAAGGGCTAAAGTTAAGAACATTCAAACCCACATAAAAATTGTTTATTAGCACAGTCTGTGCCCGTGATGGCGTGATTTCCTGGATTAATTAAAAAAGAGAGTATTAACCTTAACAAAAACAATATTAGTCCCAGCAGAGTATTTTTTGTACAACTAATAGTTTAATATATTTTTATTGTTAGAATTATGCTAAAATAATTGTTTTCACTATCAAAGTTTTAAATATCAAAATGATTATATCGGTATTATTTTTGGTAATAATTTTACTCACGTTACTTTGGGATTAAGATAGTCATATTATCTCGAATTTTCGACATAAAGAAGCAACAAATCACGCTTTTGAATAATACCATATACATAATACTTAACATAAACTCTCACGCCTGTTTCCCAGTGGGGTGGGCAGAGATTTCGGACTCCTATTTGGTACGACCCTGACACACCTCTCTTTCTTCTTTCACATCATCCATATATCTACGCTTACATGCTCAGGTAAAAGTACCGTTAATTTGACCCATCTTTATTATATCCCTAATTCTTTATTATATCCCTAATTCGTTCGATAAACTTCCTCTTCCCTAGAAGGAACTTCACCTCACCAAAGGACCCTTCCTTTACCGACTCTGCCACAGCATCCTATTCACAACATCTTCTCACAAACAACACTTCTCTCTTATCACACAACAATCTTACAGTTTCCATTCAGAAGTGAAGAATACCATTTACTTTGTCCTACCTAACATTTTTTCTAAACACACAATCTAAATACGTAAACTCAACCAACTCTACTTCTATTGATATTTCACGTATCGTTTTACTTTCTTCTCTTATGGACGCCCACACGGTCAATTCAACTGATCATTCCAACTGATCAGTTCAAACTAGGACTGTTGATATCTTTTAAAATATCTGATTTTTGATATATTGATAAATTAACTTATATATAACACTCCGATATTGATATATTTATATATCGAAAATCCGATATTTTAAAAGATATCAACAGTCCTAGTTTGAACTGATCAGTTGGAATGATCAGTTGAACTGACCGTGTGTGGCGTCCATTACACCAATTGCGTTTTACTTGCGTTCAACGAAACGTTCATTTATGTAATCATCATTTGCAATTCGCCCGCCGACGACACAAATATGACTTGATCCTCGGCGTACATGAGGCTTTAGAAGGCTAAATCACTCATTCTTCGACTTAGAAAGTTTCCAAACAACTGTCTATAAACAGATTGAACAGCCACGGGGAAGTCATGGGAAAGCTGCACAACCCTGTCAGACACGTATACACATACTTTATGGATGCCAAACCAGTCTGTGTAGGCCCCGTTGATCCTTATACAAGTACTAGAGTAGATGCTAATAAAAATAATGTAGTGCTTAGCGCAAAGCTCAATCTTAACAAGCCAGCGTTTGCCATGAAGCAATTCTGTCCTCCCTGTCATTTCAAAGAAAGCGGAAGCTGGATTTTGTACGATGTAAAAAATCCAACTTAATTAGTTGCTTATAAACCTATGTAACAAAATTTGTACATGTATTTGTATATTGTACAAAATACTTACAAGTACAGGCTTAGAAGCCTGTTTGTTATGAGCATTAATTGTGTGTTTGAACGGGTAGGTCTAAAATGCCTCTTGGGGCGGTTCCACGCCTGGAAAATCCTAAGGCAGCCTTAAGGACGCAAAGTCCTGCTTCTATAGTACGTTTTCTATCTGATTCATCACCTAGAGCAGGGTTGATTTCCACCAAGTCAATAGCTCGTAATCTTCCTGTCGAGTGTATGATCTCCATTAAATTGATAGCCTCGCGAAGTGTTAGACCTCCTCGGACTGAAAAAAGTATTACACTAAGTTGTTGATTAATGAAATCAGATTACCTGGTATATCAATCGTCTTCTTCATCAGCGCGTAATAGTCCACGACATAAGATTTTGGCATTTCCCAAAGTCGTCTCTTATAAATAATAAATGGTACTAATGATACTTCAGAGTATGACTGATGTATGGGAGACTTTTTATTTCGTCCTCTATCGTGCCCATCGGAGGCAGATCCCAGCCATGGTTTGGACGCTCCTGTAAAATAACATCACGCTATAAACAGGAGTGCTACCGGGCCTGGGATGATGCATCAACGTCTCGCGATGTAAACACCACCGCTCTTAAAAAAGAAGTATAATTCCACCTCCAGGTCCTTCAAAAGAGACATTGCCAAGGCCAGGTCTGAGCACATCAGCAGAATTGGCGAGAAGCTAGTTTGCCTTCCTTCGAAAACCCGTGCTGGTTTTTTTTATAGGATGGGGTGACAAACTTGAACACAGTCCACCTGATGGTAAGGGGTTGCTGCGGTCCATAGACATCTACATCTATGCTCGGTTACAAATCAAAATGCAGATGCGTTGTCACCCGTGAGGACTAAGATGGAATGCCTCGTTTCCAGTAATAGGGTCTCCGGTTCTCTACACTCACCATACGAAACACAGCTGCATTAAGCTACTATTTTACGCTGGTATTCTGTGAGAGCGTGGTCCTTCCCCGGTCGAACCGACCCATTCGTGCTACAACTATACTACTAATATAACTGCAGCATGGCTCTACCACGTATGAAAAAATGGTCTCTCGCCAAGGCTGACCAAGAGAAGTTCTGTCAGTCATCTCTTCCATCTCTGCACAGAGAGGACGACTCACTGGCCCATGCCACAAAGGAGAAAGACGATCTATTAGGCTCTCTTTTGGCGTCCAACTCGACTCTCGATGACGGGGGAAACACACCTCCGACCATTCCGCGGTGTGAGCGCTCCATGCCGGATGTATGGTTTACACAGCGCTCGGTTCGCAAAGCGTTCCTCTCCCTGGACGTCAGCAAGTCGAGTAGGCCTAATGGAGTCGCTTCCATTGTGCTGAAGAAGTGTGTTCCGGAGCTGGCATCGGTTTTAACGTGTCTTTTCAGGTACTCCTACTCCCAAGACGTAGTCCCAAATTCTTGGAAGACAGCTTTTGTCCACCCAAATTAATTTATTCTCCAAAATAATGGAATTCATTGTAAACTGCCAGTTCATGAAGTACCTTGAGGATCACCAGCTGATTAGTGACCGCTAATACGGTTTCCGTCGTGGTCGATCATCTGGTGATCTTGTGGTCTAACTGAATCATAGATAGGCAGAAGCAGTAGTCCAAGTCCCAGAGGGAGGCATTGGCCATTAGTTTGGACATAGCGAAGGCCTACGATCGGGTCTGGCACAAAGCGTTTCTTCGAAGCTCGCTTTCTATGGGCTTCTGACTGATTGGATCACTAGTTTTCTTGCTAATCGGAGCATCAAGGTCGTAGTAGACGGCGCATGCTCTGATTACAAGCCTACTGACGCTGGCGTTCCACAAGGCTGCGTGCTATCACCAACGCTGTTTCTTCTGCATATCAATGATATGTTGCAAACTGCTTAAATTCATTACTATGGAGACGACAGTATTGGTAATGCCTTATACATCGGCCGTGCCAATATTTCTCGGGAAAACGTCGCCGAGTACCGGGACAAACTTGTATCTAAAGTCGAATCTTTGCTTTACAAAATCTAGGATTGGGGGCAACTAAATCTAGTTCAATTCTATTCCCAGAAGACACAAGTTTGCGCGTTAACCGCTAAAAAGAACCCCTTTGTTGTATCTCCTCAGTTTGAAGGTAATCCCTTTGCTGCCTCAGCTAACATCAAAATCCTTCGCGTCGACATATCGAATAGTGTGCAGTTGTAGTCACTGGAGGGGAAGGCCAAATTGGCCTCTAAAAAGCTTGGCGTGCTCAGCAAAGCGAGACAGTATTTCATGGCGGCACATCACTTGCAACTTTACAAAGTGCAAGTTCGGCCTCACATTGAATACTGTTCTCATCACTGGGCCGGGGCTACCCAGTGCTAGCTTCCTCCACTTGACCGCATCCAGCGCAGAGCGATTCGAATCGTCGATGACCGAGTTCTTTCTGATCGGCTCGATTCAATGGCGCTGCGTAGGGATGTTGGATCCCTTTGCTTTTTCTATCATATCTACCACGGGGAGTTGTTTGAATAATTGTTCGGATTAGTTCTAGCTGCCAAATTTCACGAATGCACATCGCGTCAAGATTTACGATACCATTCACCATTCTCACCATCTTGATGCTTGGCGGTACACCACTGTGCGTTGTTCTAGGACTTTTCTTCCTCGTACAACTTCTCCGTAGAATTGTTTACCACCGGCGACTTTTCCGGACCGATACGACTTAGGGACCTTCAAGAAAAGAGCTTACTTCTTTCTAAAAGGCCGGCAACACACCTGCAATTCCTCTTATGTTGCAGTTGTTCATGGGCGACGGTAGTCACTTACCATCGGTGAGCCGCATGCTCGTTTGCCACCTCTTCTATATAAAAAAAATAGATTGATTGATTTTCTTGTCCTTCTGATGCATTGATATCAAGTTCATGTTGAATTGTTAAAGAAATGTTCATGAAAGTTACTTCGATGTATCAAATCAATGGGTATACTAAAATCCATCAATCCCACAGAAACTGCAAAATTTTGGTTAGTATGAAGTCATATATCCGAATTACAGGTATACTCGTATATGACAAGATCATAAAATGAAATTTCGTCATATTTGAAATTAGATAAACTAAATAATATCATTAGTTACACAATGTAGTTTATATTTCTAAGCGTTAACTTTATTTTAAGTTTAACATTGTGTTTTGTATTTAGTGAATAATGTATAAATCACATCTAATAACCGAAGTGCGATTATTACTAGGTTCAGCTGTGGGTTAAACTAGGTAAAGTCCGAATTAAAATTAAAATGAATGAGAAATTTGAATCCTTGTTTTTCCTTTATTACAAAGTAAATAATTTACAGGTACAGACATAACAATGACTTTTGTTAAATTTGTTTAAAATACGAAAGCACATATCAAGTAATATCAGCGACAGTAAGCTAAAGTGCGCCTGGGGTAGTTCATGGGCCACCCAAAAGCTGCGTAATTTACTTTCTTTACAAATCATTTAGCCAAATCGAATACACCTAAGTTTAACCAACTGCACTTGGCTACGCCAAGTTGTAGCCGGCTAAACAGAGGTGGTTTTTGGCGGTAAGATATTCAAATGTATCTTTGGTCTAGCTCACCTGGGGTGCCAGTGCTAGGAGCTTCTAACGAGTCCAAGGAATCGATATCAAAGCTCACATGAATGGGTTTATTCATTTCTGGATCTAATACTTGTAGTATGTGATGAATTGATTTTCTTATACCATGTCTGAAATAAAAAAAGAACTTCATTTCATCATTGTTTGTTTTGTCCTTCATTTAATCAAATATTATTAGTTCATTTTGCATAATAAAAAATAAAAATATAAATTTCTTCGCAACCTTCCGCTAAATAAATACAATGATGTGTCTTACTTGGATTGTAGAGCACCTCCCGCCCTCTATATTACCTGTAGTCTACATTACCTGAAGATGCCTCGTGTAGAGGCGAAACACGTGTCGTATTATCGTCGATGGTGTGTCTTACCTGGAATAGTGGTGTTGGGAGTAGTGGCGACGGAGTTAGTGCATGTAATTGAGGGAGGGCGGGAGGTGCTCTTCAATCCAGGTAAGTCACATTATTGTATTTATTTAGCGGAAGGTTGCGAAGAAATTTATATTTTTATTTTTTATTATAATGGATTTCCGCAAAGTAACGCCTGATTCTATCAATTATATTGCATAATGTTAATCAATAGCAGTGGATATAAATTTATCGAAACATGTCGTGACTCTGATTTGATTATTTTAAAAATAAAAATCGTAAAAAGATAACGGTAAATATTATGATAATAAACAACTTACTCTTCAATGTCTTCCATTGCAAACGTTGGGATATTATATTTTTCAATTGCTAGTCTTTCATAATTATCAACAGAACGAAGTCCAACATACCCCAAGTTTTTGATCGAGAATCTGAAAAAAACGTCTTATTTCAAGTTGGGATAAATAATATTTCTCTGAAATTTTTTGTTATGAAAAAAAACCAATTCTTACTTAGGTACTTGCCAGTCCATAGTAGGTAAATAAGGCCAATAATCGGATAGCTCTTTTACAAGAAGTGCCACGGGCATTCCGTGCACGGATCCTGAGCCTGACGTCTTATTTGTGTTGATGTCAGCATGTGCATCTACCCAGATGAGTATCATATCGTGATTTACGTTGTAATGGCCATCCACAGTGCCTAGGGTTGAAATACATTAATTAGATAGCTGCTACATTACGTATCTTAAATACGGAATCGGAACAAAATGAAGGTTAATTTATAAACTATTAAATATGAAAATTCCCTAAAGGAGTTTGTGACCCTAAGGGGTTATCCCGTTTATTCACCCTAAAGAATCCACCCTACAGTGGATACTCAGATACGCGTGTCCATCTATCCACCCCAGACGGGGTGAAATTCAGTATTATTAGTTTTTCCGACTTTTTACTCCAAGTATCTAATATTATGAAAAAATTTATAACGTATTGCTATTACCGTCACCGTTACAGCTTAGTCCACGCATTACGTATTGCATTTAAATCAAACTTCTTCGTTTTAAATAATATTATTGCGTAATTTATAAATTCTGGAATATGTCCAGGCAATTACCAACATTAATTTAATTATTGAGTAGACGTAATTTGATATTCTGGATAAATTCTTCACTTTTAATGAACATTAGCAATCGTATTTTAAATTTCATTGCTCACAAATGTGTTAGCTAACAAATGGGAGTTTTATACAAGCATTCTAAAAATGTTACGAATCGAAGTTTGTCTTTAATGTTATTTTAAATTATTTTATGCCATGATTGTAATCTTGTGATGAAATACTTTTATTTCAGCGTTGACCCACCAAACAAAATATATGTTATGTCTTCTAAGTATCTTGAGCCAGCTTTTATCATGTTTGTATAAATGACTGTACTCAGCCGAGGGGAAAAAATTGAAGAAAAATAAAATATACGAATTCCGTTTATTCATCCCGTCTGAGGTGGATAGATGAACACGCAATTCTGAGTATCCACCTTAGGATGGATTCCTTAGGGTGGATAAACGGAATAAACCACCCTTAGTAATTTATTTAAAATGAAAACAATAAAAACTTACCAACCCCTATGGAGTGATCTCCACCGATGGTGACAGCAATCCGTCCATCTTTGAGTACTTGCGACACACGTTCTGATAGATTTTTGTTACAGGCTGAAACCTGTGAGAGATGGGCCATGTTGTCTACTTCAACATCAGCGTCAGCAGCTGTTGTGTCAATGTCTCCATAGTCTTTAATATCGAGCCCTTCTGAATGGGACAGCAATCACAATAGATGTGTCGAAAATCCATATTGTATAAGATAAATGTACACTATTTAATGTTAGTAGTATGTACGTATCAGATTTAACAAAAAATCCAAATAAACGCGATAAAATCCGTAAAAGTAGTTTTAATCTATATAACAGTTTCTATTAATGAACATGTTCATATTTCAATAACGGATTTGGTACATAAATGTAAATTTATTAAGTTAAATTTTACTGATAAAATATGATAATATATACTATATAAATGTTAAAATTATTACCGATTGTTTTAAGATGTTCAATCAAGCCCGCAGATCTCATTGCAGCTGGAGCAATATTCACTCCATATTTCGTTTGTCCTTTTTCGAAGGGAACTCCAATGATACCCACCCTTTTCAGAGGCTCCCATTTTTTTGCCTGGCTCATGTTTCTACTTAATAATTTTATGTAATTCATTATTACTCAATATTCACTAGAAAGACATATTTATAAACGCAACAACATTTGTCTTATGTGATAACTGAGCGAGAATTGAAACTACTAACGCGTGCATTATCTTTATCTTGTCGTGTAGGTCAAAGGTGGGGTTCCTAAGACTTTAAATTCGGTATAATGATTTTAGTATAGTCAATGTTATCCTATACCTTTAAACGAGCAATTCTTTTATTATATATATATATATATATATATATATATATAATACATATATTTTATATATATACTCGTATATATATTATATATAATCGGAATCTCGGAAACTACGGCTCCAACGATTTTCATAAAATTTAGTGTCCAGGGAGTTTCGGGGGCAATAAATCGATCTAGCTAGGATTTATTTTTAGAAAATATCTTTTTTGTCCGTGTTTTCAGGCAATGAAAAACTGCTACAATATAAGAAGGTAAATTTTGACAGTGGTAATGATCGTAACAGCTCAAGTGGATATCGAGCGGTCGCAAAATTGTAATGCCTGGGTTCGCGTCCTGTCTGCGGTCCGACTTTTATCCTTTTTTTTAAGGTTCCCTTTTTTATGAGAAAATCTATTATTCCGAGCCCTTTTTTTAGTATTTTTTAAAAATATGAAAATTTTAATTAAACATTTTAAAAATTTTAATTGGCTAGTTGAATAAAAAATTAGAAAACTTTTTACTCAAATAACCAGTTCAGTTTTTTCTATTATGTCAATAAGATCAAAAAATATTATTCATGTTTCATCCGTGTGTAATTTGTATCTAAATGTAATTTCAAAAAAAAAAAAAAAAACGAGCAAAGGTCGGTCATCCAGGTACTGAATTTTTTATACCAGTTAAATAAACTAACAAATTAGTTTTCATCATAATCAAATTTTTTAATTAATTTATGTAAAAATATGGAGGCACAATTACCTACCTCAATTTACGATGTTTGAAGTGAAGAAGTTATGAACTTCTTGCGCACTTAAAGTATTTATAGTAGCAGCTTATGAAGAATAACTCATTTCGTAATTTACGCTAATTTTCGACCGAATATAGGCGCATCGATCACATTGGAAACTCCCCGTTTATGTAAAAGTGTGACCGTATTTAATGAAGTACAAATATTACGTTTTTAACAATAATATACATTAAATTAGCAAATTGCTTTACTGACTATAAGACATAAAAAAAAACATTCAACTCCGACCCTTCTTTGGAAACTGGTGTTGATTTCTTGAGAAACAAATTTTAGCGATGGTTCTGAATAAGGCTCATCAAACCAATGTAAGTAGGGCCCAATGACCGTAAAAATATTATAAACATCATTCAAGTTACGATGAGCAAGCGAGCCACAAGGAAATGTTGCTATTCCTACGACAAGCGAGTCCAATAGTATTGGTCCTCCCTCACCAAAGTTTTGTAGGTATGTCTTTGAGCCAGTTGTATATTCTGACCCACAAACACAATAGTGCCATTTTGGGTTCTTGCAAGGTATCTGATGGTAGATCTGTTTTTGTAGGGCTACTAAATGTTCTTTAATTTTGCCGTAGCCGACAGCTAGTAATCTACTTTTCATCAATTCAGAAGCCGAATAGTTTCCTATGACAGCGCTGTACACAAATAATTCAAGGTGTGGTTTCACCGTATAGATTAGTCCTATATTATTGTACATTTGGGTAATAATTTGATCGGAGTCAATATTCACTTCAAGAGCATAATCTTTGTGTAATCTTTTAAAAGCAATTTTAAGAAGCATATTGGTTTTTAAAATATTTTCTATGGCGGCGGCTCCCACTGCTACGAAGTTTGGATCTCTTTTCACACAGCTGCCAGAGGTCAGTACAGTGCGTTGATTAATAATTGTACCAGTGCACGAATAAACTTTTTCCCTGTCCAATAAAGCCACTATGTATGGATGTTCTTCTGCTAACATTTCTATAGTTCTCCAATCAGCCGGATTAGCTTCTTGCGCCGTTAAATTAATAATAGCAAGTGAAAAAAAAGATATCCTAATTGTTTGTAGAATTAATTTCATCATCATCGTAATGGAATAATATTGTAGACATTTATTTGTATATTTTAAAACAAATAAAGCTTATATTATGAAACACCAATCATATTAATTTCTAGAAGCAGTTTTATATCCCTTTTGACATGAAAATTTGACTTGTGTTTGACAAATAAAGTGAATATTTTGATTTTTGATTATGTAGCAGAGCTGCGTAGTCAATAAAAAATATAATTGCAGCGAAAGGTTATAAAAGAGGTTAGGGAGAAGCACCGTTACCGTTACAGCCTGTCAAAAGTCCATTACTGAACACATGCTTCCTCCTGAGATTCATCGCCCCTTAGGAGGGATGTCTTCCATAGTTGGCACACTTGGCGGGCGGGTTGGCGACCGTAGTTGTTTTCCGGTTGTTATTAAGAAAACGCTGCTGCCCATCTCCTAGTTTATATTCTTCACTCGCCTCTTACGACACTCACGGAGCGATATAGGGTAGGGCATATTCTTTCACTGCCACTACATGGTCGAGGGAGAAGCACAAAGACATTCAAATAAATACGAGGAATGACTGTTAATATAATAATATTTACTAAAAATATCATTTGTTTAAAGAATAATAAAAATTAATAAACCTAAGTATAACAACTTTCTGATTACGCTGCAAATAGAACGTGAGATCGTAGGATATATTCCTTGGCGGCACTTACAATTTACTACCGAGGTTCAGGTGGACGGTCGGAAATCCATCTATATTCCAAATCCCAATCAAATAAATTTGCGATAACGAGCAACATTATCATTTACGTAATAGAGCCACGCTGCGGCTATATTATGGTTGTATGGTCTCAAAGTGTACCAGCGTAAAATAGTAGCTTAATGCTGTTGTGTTTCGTATGGTGAATGTTAAGAAAAGGAGACCCTTTTTTACTGAAAATGAGGCATTACATCTTAGTCCTCAGGGTTAACAACGCATCTGCATTTGAATATTTATTTAAGGACAAATGTAGATGTCTATGGGTCACAGCATCCACTTACCATCGGGTGGACGTAAAGCATAGCCCGCCTGTCCTCGAAAATTGTAGAATATATACCGGCGCTGACGTCGGTGAGTAGTGACTACGAAGTTAGCTGTTTATGAGTACAAGTAGATGAAGTTAGTTGAATAATGTACAAATTTTCATTTCATTTATAATGAGAAAAATTTCATGCTCCGTAATTTTGTAATTTTTGACAAAAAGAAACATTAAAAAATGGAGAAATATTTTATTGTGCGTGGATGTGCAAGTGGTTTAGCATCTGATCGGAAAAATAGACTGAAATTGACTTTTATTGACCGAACTTGGTGATCGCAGCGCCTCACTTATGGTGTCCATATTTCTGGGACACTATTTTCTATGGCGATCGTTCTCTTGTTTTCTAACCTTCATGGGGTCGATTGTATATCAATTTGTCACCCTTATTCTGTAAAAAAGTGCAAGGGTAATTCTTCAAAAATATAGCACTGGATTCAAATAACGGAGTAGGTGCAATTATGCAATTCTTAAGACGTTTTTGTAGTATGGTCACACCGATAACGTTTAAAACTGCCCAAACTAATCATGAAAATAAAAGTAAGAAAATAAATTTCAGTTGCTGAGTTGCACTCAATGACCAAAGAATAAGAGAGGTAGTGCCATAATAATCTGTATAAAATATACATTATAGGAATATCATACGATTCTATACAGAATAAAAATAGCATACGTTTCTTTTTAACGTATGTGATTCTGCTAGTGTAAAAATAGAAAATATTATTTTGTCAGTTTTATAAACTTACAGTACTAAAATATGTTGTCACATAATGCCCGCCTCAGAGTAAATACTAGCATAGAGAGAGAGTCCTAAAATAGGAATAAAATTGCTATAGCTGAAGTCTTTACACATATAACGTTAACATAGTACAAAATAGGATAGCAATATTATTCTCACCTTCTTTATTTTACAAGCTGGTTACCGTTTTTCCATTCCATAGACACCTCTATTGATGTGCCATTAGCGAAAGAAAACACGTCGATACATTCATTTAGTCTATGACTTAGTAAAATTAAGGATTTTTATTAATTTGGTTCGTAATACTTATATCAACGAAATTTTATGGAAGCTTCATCTCACATCTTAAAATAAAACGTAGTTGCTAATCGCAGAATTTCGTATTATCGTTGTGTTATTTAAAATATATCGTGAAAAGTTCCCTACAAAATTCACTTGATTTATTTCCGCCAAAGTATCCTTAGACTTAGTATGGGTTTCACAAGAAAAAATAACTGTGTTTGTTTAATAGACACTTTATGTCACGGGACGTACATAGAAGGCACAGCTACAACAGTTCCAATTATAGAATAAGGGTTCCAAACAAGTACACAGTCCACCTGATGGTAAGTAAATTTTGTGGCCCATAGACATCTACATTTATCCTAGATTAAAAATAAATGCAGATGCGTTATTAAGAACTAAGATGAACTGGCTCGTTTCCAGTAAAAAGGGTCACCGGTTCTCTACACATAACACAACAGCCTTAAGCTGCTATTTTACGCCGGTCGAGCCAACCCATACGAGCGACAACTGTTATAGCTGCAGCGTGGATTTTCCACGTAAATTAGTATAGTGATATAATAGTGGCATGACCGCGGTCTGCATTCTCTTTTGTCGCTAGATCACAACTACCAATAAATCGGTTACGAACGTATTACTCGTTCTCTCTTTGCTCCCTCAATATATTATCCACCATTCATTAATTAAATATAGCCAATCAAAAGTCCACTGGTGCAATATTTGCCATATAATTTTTATTTTGAGCGATTATCACGAAGATACGTTTAATTTCTCTCTGTCGTCTTTTACGATACTCATAGGATGGTATGAGGTCTTAGAGCTTCTGACTAATAATATATATTATTTGGTAGCAGGTGGTGAATCCTTTTACACTGCCGCTACACAGCCTTATCAAGATCCTGCCTTATCTTCATGATTTAAAAATATTTTCATCCAAGCAGATAAAGCTTTGTTGAATATAATCGATGGTTTATATTTTCCGCTGAGCAAGTGGTAAATCTACTAGCACATGTACCATGTGTCCGTCAAGACTTAGTATTGATACCTCTTTAATTATTAGTTTTTAATGGTACGCACACGGATTTTCAGCGCGTCCAGTATGCCTGTGTTAGATACTGTTATGACGTGCCGCCACGCGCACATGTCACACCTTATATAAACGATGCTAATATTTTAAAAATGGAATATCGTAGTCATCTTCACTTTGCGTCATTGCTATTTGGTATTGTCTTACATAAGTCTCCAACTTATTTATACGATATATTGTAATGCACCAAAAATAATAATACCACACACAACACCAGAGCCTCCTATTATAGACTAACATAATCATCATACCAAAATGCAGCTTTTCGAGGTAGCTTCAAGTACACCGCTACGCAATCTAAAGACAGTAAAATTCTTTAACATCAGATACAAATTACACCTATTAAACCATCAGAAACACACACACACACACACACACACACACACACACACACACACACACAAACACACATACACACACTTACACACACAACACATTTACGCGCGCGCTCCCATACTAATATAATAAATAATATTTATAATTTGTATGATATAATTTCATAAGCATAGCATGATAGGATTTAATAAAATGCTCACCAAAGAAGTTTTACTTCTCGTTTTTATTATTATTTGTGTTCCTTTTTTCTCTCTTTCTTTTGTGTTTAAATTATTTTTATTTTTTAGCTATCTGCTACTATTTTAATTATATTGTATATTGGTTCCGTCGCTGTACTTCCATTGTGGTTTAGATTTTAAGCTTAGTAATTTTAGAACACAATTTATGTATAGCCTTATAATTAAATTTAGTAATTTATATAGTAGTCTCGTGTATTTTTTCACTGTTTGTTTGTTTTATTTGTTATTACTTACCGTTGGGATTTATTTATAATATATTTATATAGACCACTGCTCGAACAACTCGAAAGAGACGAAACGGGCCACACTGAAAAACAGCGGCTGTGGTTCGCCACGCCAAATACTTGTGCGACCCCTTTTCGTCACATTCGGCAACGTTTATTCTATATTATTTTTTAATAATAGTCTTAGAAATAAAACAACAACGTACAACATGGCATTGTGCCTATGTGGCGAAATAAACATTTTCTTTCTTGCTTTCTTTCTTATATAGATTTATTTCCAACCTTTCCAATATCTAATTACAATATTCCTTGCAAGATCATCATAATGTATTCGTGTTCATTCTGAGCACCCGGAAACTAGTATTTTATTCTTTGGAACATGTGTACTCTGTGGCGGCAATCAAACCGTGTCAAATGTTGCGCGTGCGGCGCGGCGGCGACGATTGTATGCGATATCAATGGAAGCCGCAGGCGAGTGTATCTTGACTTCCGAATAGCTGCAAAATTTCTTTGACAGGTCAGTATCTGACCTTTGATGATGCCGACTACAAAACGCCGCGCATTATCCGATAGTCATAACCAGGGATGCACTCTTTTTTCTTTTAATGGATATTTATTTTCATTTGTTATGTATGTTTGTGGCATTGTTCGTAATGCGCATAAGTCCAATTTTCCAATTTTTTTAAATATATTTTTTTTCGTCTCTTAGAGTCCCTAAGCGTATTACCGAACTCCGATACTCCCTAAAACGCTGAGAGACCAAGACTGGAAGCGTACTACCAAGACCATGACCAAGACCAAGACTGGCTAAGTCTCGTCTTGTTCTTGCATTTGGGTAACACTAATTGTGACTCGAATCAAAAATGTTTTTGACTAGTTTTATCGTGCAGTGCCAGTGTTTAAATATCCACTATCCAATGGCATCCTATAGGTGTAGTAAGAGGCGAGAGAGGAAAACAAACCAGCAGGTGAGCAGTAGCGTCTTTGATAGGTTTAAATAATGATGAGTTACCCAATTCACAAAAATCATGCCTCATTGCTGTGAAATTTCTCGTA